ATATATATATATATAGAAAACACACAAATAGAAAGATTCATGGATAAATAATTTACGCTAAACAAGAAAAGAAATTACCAATAAAGGAAAAAAAAGTGAAAATCATAAAAGGAACAGACCCAGGATTCAAGCCTGAAATGTCTAACATCAAGGTTCGAGTTCTTAACCACTGGCTTACCCTAGGGACATCATAAAAGGAACTTTAAACAACCACAGCTCGGATCAGCTGACATAAGGAATAGAAAAACCAAAAATTAGCAAAACCCATTTCAATTAAAGTAAAACCAAGGAAGAAACCACTCATAACATACCCAAAAACCAGAAAATGAAAATCGACATAACAGATGACAGATTAAGCCAAAAAAACTGCAAAAAAAAAATAAATAAATAAATAAAAATGAAGCCCACTTCAGTTTCCTGTTGATCGAGAAAACGGAGGAACTTACAATTTGAGTCGAGCGTTTCCCAAACGCCAAAGCATGGAAATCAATAAGGATCATCAAAACAGTAACGCCGCGTTGTTCTTGTCTCTCTCAGCTTGAAAGAGGTAGAAGTTGCGCATGAATACAAACTACCAAAGTTGGCATTAATAACGATGCAATCGGTTGTCTGTCCTCTGTCATGTTGAATTAGAGAGAAAGAGAGTTTGGTTTTGTTTGGTAGCTTGGAAAATTTGGTTTGATTCCATGCAGCCACTCGAAAGAACAAGAAGGAGGCCAGCTTTGTTTAAAAAAATTGTGTTCTGTTGTTCGGAATGAAAAATAACGGAGCCCCGAGAGTTGCCCCTTCCTCAGCTCATTTTCCTCCAAATTAGATTTCGGGTCAGGATCCGGGCATGAACCAACCTAACAAAGGGTGTGTTTGGTTAATGAAAAGGAAACAAAGCCTGGGACTAAATTAATAGGTTTCAAAGGTCAAGCACCAATTTTAAAATTCGTAAGAATGGTAGATGGAAAGTACAAATTTTCCCTTTCTCCAGTACCACTTTCAAAATTTTTTAATTTTTTAATATCTTAAAAATATTTATATATTTAGTAAAAAATGTAAAACAATTCTAACTTTTTAAAATAAATTAAAGTTTTAATCTTAAAATATTTCATTTTATTTAATTAAAATTTAATTTAAAATTTTTAAATTTATTTTATTAAATATTATTATTTAGATTTAAAAAGTAATATATTAAAATATATAATCTATT